ACAATAATCTTTGTCAAGAATTTGCTAAGAATATGCAGGATGAATTTGAAATGAGTCACATGGGTGAACTAAATTTCTTTCTTGGACTTCAAATTAAACAATTGAAAGAAGGAATTTTCATCAATCAAAGCAAGTACGCAAAAGATTTACTTAAAAGATTCGGATTGGAAAATTCAACAAGCAAACCAACACCTATGAGCACTACGACATCTCTTGACAAAGATGAAAATGGTAAGAATGTTGATCAAAAGCACTATCGAGGTAATGATTGGATCACTTCTTTACATTACTGCTAGTAGACCTGATATTATGTTTAGTGTATGTTTATGTGCAAGATTTCAATCAAATCCTAAAGTTTCACATCTTAAAGCAGTAAAAAGAATATTTAGATATATTAAAGATACTACAAATTATGGTTTATTTTATCCAAAACATAGTTCTTTTAATTTAATATCATATAGTGATGCTGATTTTGCCGGATGTAAATCTGATAGAAAAAGTACAAGTGGAACATGTCATTTCTTAGGACATTCACTTGTATCTTGGTTTAGTAAGAAACAAAATTCAGTATCATTATCAACAACTGAAGCTGAATATATTGCTGCAAGTCTTGCATGTGCACAAATATTATGGATGAAACAAACTTTAACTGATTATGGCATAAATTGTCCCATATCATCTATTATGTGTGATAATTCTAGTGCAATTAATTTATCTAAAAATCCTATTCAACACTCACGTACAAAACACATTGATATTAGACATCATTTTTTACGTGATCATGTTCTTAAAGGTGACATATCATTAGAGTTTATACCTACAGATAAACAAATTGCAGATATATTAACAAAACCACTAAAAGAAGAAGTTTATGTTAGATTAAGAAGGGAATTAGGTATATGTTCAATTGAAGATTTAAATTAATTTTTAAAACAAAAATACTTAAATTTAAACCTTAAGTAGTCGATTAATCTAACTTATAATCGACTACATGCACAAGTATTACTAATAATTTTTCTGAAAAATTACAGTATAGTCGACTACTTACCTTTATCGACTACATGCACAAGTATTACTAATAATTTTTCTGAAAAATTACAGTATAGTCGACTACTTACCTTTATAGTCGACTACTCAATGTTAAATTCTTAAAATCAACTTTCTGTTGTTTACAGTGTAGTCGACTACAATACAGATTAGTCGACTACTCTAAGTTAAAATCTAAAACTCTTCTGTTGTTTACAGTGTAGTCGACTACAATACAGATTAGTCGACTACTCTAAGTTAAAATCTAAAACTTATCTTTCTATCATTTACAGTATAGTCGACTACTTTGACTATTAGTCGACTACTAATTCTGAACATTCAGTCTTTATTACAAGTGGGTATTTTCTGTTTTTAAACCCAAAAACCCAATACCCATACCCGTTTTAATTAAGTAAAATTCATCTCAACCATTCTTTCTCAACTACATCAATCCTAACCATACATTTAAGATCAAATCTTAACCCTACATTCCTTTTACTATCTAATCCAAACCATACATTGTTTTCATTCTTAAAAGATAAAGTAAAAAAGTAAAAACTACCCTATAACTACACTCAAAACCGAAACCCCATCTTCCCATCTTCCCCACTTCAGTTTCACCAATTCCAGGTTAGGGCATTTTTATCTCTCTCAAAATTTCATTACTATCCTTCAAATTCTCTTCAATTTCTTCAACTCTATCAACTATTCAAGCTCTGTAGTCGACTACTCCAGGCTATAGTCGGCTAATCTAGGGTTTCTACAGTTTTGGGGTATAATTCTAAACTTGCTCTTTTATTCTCTTGATTCTTATCTAGTTCATCATGTCTAGATCTAAGAAAGCCAAGCAAACTCACAGTTCTGTTAATGATGAAATTATTATTTATTTAAGAAGTCCTGAATTATTAGAAGAATTTAACAGACTTTCAACTTTAGAAATTCTTACAGGACGATTTGTGAAGTTCGATGATTTCATCCCATGGAACTTTAGTTCTTATTTTGAAAATGTGGGCTTGCTTGAGTTATTTTCTGCTAAAAATAAGAAACCATCATACCCATTTCTTGTGCAACTGTTCTATACCAATATAGAACGTGTGGGTACAATTGGTGGTTCTGAAAAAATTAAAACCCTTGTTAAAGGAATGGAGATTGAATTAACTACTAAAACAATTGGTAAAATATTCAATATTCCTTATCAAGGAGTTTCTCTTAGCTCTGTTAGGATGAATGATTCAGACTTGCTATCCAATCACATATTTCTTCCAGGACATGGAAAACCTTTGAACAATTCAAACAAACTTCGTCCATTTCCTAGGTTCATTGCTCGTATCCTAGCCTATAACTTATTTCCAAAAACTGGAAGTTTTCATTTCATTTCCCTAGAATTAGCAAAAGCTATATATGCTATTATGGGAAATATTCAAGTTAATTGGGCTGAGGTTTATTTTGATAATTTTCTGACCATTCCTAGAGGATTTCTTCCTTATGGTGCATTCCTGACTAAGATCTTTGACAAATTTCATGTCGATCTCAAATCTGAAAAATATGTTGTTCGTTCAACTGAATTTTTTGATTCAAATGCCCTAACTAGGATGAAATTGACAAATTTTGAAATCCAAGATTACAATCCTCAAAATGAACCTGTTCAAAATGAACCTGAACTTCAACAAGAAGAAATTCCACAAACCTCAACTCATGCTGGAGCCTCTTCAAGTCAATCACCACCATTTCCTACTGAACCTTCATGTTTTTCAGACGTGCAATACAATACTTTGAGTGCACGTATCCTAGAACTGGAAACAGGTCAACGAGCTATATATGCACAAAACAGATATATCATCAGCAATCAAGAAGACCTAATCAAAAAGTTTGAAGACTTGGACTCAAAGCTTAATTCATATTTTCAAGGCCAACAACCTCCTCCAGCACCTTAGAATTTGTTTCTGTTTTTTGGTCAAAACAATTATGTTCTTATGTTAAAAACTATGTGGTTGTTATTATGTTTAAAACTATGTGGTTATGTTGCTTTTATGTCAAGTTTGCTACAATATGACTGTGTGTTAACCCTGCTATTATGAAAAGTTTGCTATTATATGTGTTAAGTTTGCTACTATTTTGTTCGTTAATATAACTGCTATATATTTTAAACAGATAATGGTGATGAACATTATGGAACTTGTGGTCTTTATGGCAAGTCTTTGCCTACCAATATGGATGGGCGAAGTTATGGACTATGTTCATAACCTAGATGATTTGTTTGAAGTATTAGCTCATGTTGAAGAAATTATGTTATGTTTAGGTTCTTCTTTTTGTTGATAACAAAGGGGGAGAAATAGTTAAGTTTTATACTGTTTATTATGTATGTTAAAAAAACTTTGCATATATGCAGGGGGAGTAAGTATTACATGTTTTAAAATTTAATATGATGCATAAATTATTTGTTATCATCAAAAAGGGGGAGAATGTTGAATATCATTTCTCCATAATAATGTTTTGATGATAACAATTTATATTGTGTGTATACTAACTTTCATATGCAGATTTCAATATCAGAATATGTACAAGTGCAAGTGGATATCAAGGCATTTTGAAGTGAAGAAAATGAAGAACAAAAGATAATGTATTTGAATTTTTCTTTGCTTAGAATATTTGTACAAGCCTTGATCACACACACGCACACACACACATTTTTAGAATACACTAACACAGGCTTAGTGTGTTGGTTAACTATAGAAATCCCCTATGTTAACCATTAGAATAATAGTTAAAACTTAATTATAAAAACTCATTATTTCTGAATTTTTGATCTTAATAGTCGACTAATTAGGATAGTAGTCGATTACTCATGTATATAACTCAAATACAAGTTTCTGTCTTTTTACAGTATAGTCGACTAATAGAGATTATAGTCGACTACTGAGATGTTTGACAGAAACATAAGTTTCTGTCTTTTTACAGTGTAGTCGACTAATGACTACAGTAGTCGACTACTGAAGAAAAATATAAATTTTCAAGTTTCTGTCTGAACTCAGTGTAGTCGACTAATTATCATTATAGTCGACTACTGAGAACATTTTCCGAAAACACAGAGTCTGTCTGAACTCAGTGTAGTCGACTAATGACTACAGTAGTCGACTACAAGAGACAGTTTTTCAGTTTTCAGAATTTGAATATCTGACAGTTTTTGGCCGTTTTTAAACGTTTTCAAACTTTAAAAACTTGTCTTTTCAAGGGGTATATATAGGTTATTTGTTCAGAAAAATTGGAGAAATATACATACCCATAAGCTTTGATTCTTGAGCAATTTCCTAAGTGAAAAACATTCTGATTTTCTGAAAAAGAAGAGTTTCTGAAATTGCCTATATACTTTCATCAAAAACAAATCAATTAGGCAATTTTACAAAGATTAAAAGAATCCTAAGCCACTGCTGCACATTATTACACATTCAAGGCTTATAGGATCATTGTGTTCTTCTTCAACAAGTTTTCTCTCGGTTGTGAGAGGGTTAGTCTCTTGGGTTAGAGATTGGTGTTCAAATTGACAAGGAGTTTGTCAATTGGTGTTGCAATTTGCAGGAACTTGCAAATTGGTCAGGTTTGCATTTGATTTTGTAAGTTTATTCAAAATCATAGTGAAAACTCCCCCCCCCCCCCCCCCCTCTAGTGTTCAAGTGTATCTATTTCAGATCCTACAGTGCAAAGTGACAATTCTTTCCACATTCGAAGCACTTCCCTTCATTGTAACCATTCGGGTCCGGCCCTTTAGACTTCCTTCTAGACTTTGATTGGCATCGTTGTCCCCTACCCTTCTTCTGTGCACGCCCTCGTGCCTTGACATGCAGCTCCTGAGACTTTATGGCGTGATTCTTCATCCAAAATTGTCCCAATCACTGTGTCAAGCTTCATCTTGTCATTGCCATTGCCGTTGCTCACCGTCATCACCATATTCTCTTATGTGAGATGTTGTAAGTCACATGCTGATGAAAGTTGAGCCTGATGGTGGCAAGTACTCTACGATCGAACACCTTCCACTTATCGTCGTTCATCTTCTCAGGTTTTCCCGCCTCTCCTTGGAGGGGTATGAAGAGATCCTTCTGGTAGAAATAATTTTCTATTTGCATCTTTCAATACCTGAAATTTTGGTCGCCGAACTTCTTAATTCGAAGCCTATTGTGTTCAACTGTAGATTCCATGGCGAAAGATTAGTCTTTCCCGAACCATATTTGTGAATAGTAATAATACTTATGAATAGTACCGTACTCTTGAATAATGCCTAGTGCTTTTAAAGAGTAAATGATAATCTAACTTATTTTCTGATGTGGAGGATTCACTTTTAGTGGCAGTCACAGAGTATACGATAAACAGATATATATATTCTTAAGTCTGGCTCTAATACCAATTGTTAGGGATACACACCAACAAGAACGCCTCGAACGGAGACGTAATACACAAAATAAAGGCACAAAATCAATCGCAATACTTACAGATATATGTGGTTCACTCATTCGGAACTATTCCACGGTGCAACCACGACGCCCGGTTCTTTTATATTTCAAAAGAATTAGATTAAAGAGAACACCCTCTCTTGATCAAGATACACTCCAAGAATTCTTACAAACTCTCTCTATGTTCTCTCTTACTCTTCTATAAGAGGAGTTGTTTCTGAGATGATTTTCCTAAAAAATTTTGACCCTATTTATAGTGTTTGGGAAATACTATGTACTAATAAAATATTATTGGTAGGACCCACCACTATTAATATTTTATTGGTGGGACCTGCCACCTTTTTAATTTCTCAAAAATTGCGGCACCGATTTCTTTCTTTGTCAAAGAAGGTGGGCGGTTGACACTTACAATTTGAGTTGGTCTGTAAATAGGTTTCTTTTATCAGTGAATAATTTGGAATAATTTTTGTTGGCGAGGGATGTTGTTCTATTAATATATATGCTCATACAAAGGATTTTTTTCCCCTTGCAGGTATTAAGAATGTAAATGTTCACATTCAGGAAGTTGATCTAGTGAAATCTACTGCAGACGAGGTATATGCTCAACTACCAAGTGAAATTGTAGTTTCAACATGTCTTTGTGCATTGTGAGATTTGTTTTCTGATTTCCATTCAAACATCAATAATTTATATAATCGTTTATCGTTATTATGGACTGATATATCGGCAGCAGGCTTACATTTACTAATGTGTTTGAACTGTCTATACTTCCACTTAGCTTATCAGGTTTTTTATGCTTGTCTTTTGGTGCACTTATTTTTAATATTGTGGGATCAAATTAACTGTTCATTTTTGTTATATTCTAACTGCAGGAAGGACTGAAAAACACTAGAATTCAAAGGCGTGTATATGAATTGTTTGCTAAAGCAGCTACTTCTGCTCCTCATCCAGCAGTTGACCAACGGGAACTTCATTTTGTTTTCTTCAGAAAGCCAGAAAGTTTTTTGTCTTCAGATGGCTGTAATGTTAGCGGCGTGCGCCTTGAGAAAACATGTTTGAAAGGTTGGTTTTCCTAATGAATTATTAGTTGATGTTAGAAACACATCATCTCTTTATGCACAGTGTGACCTCAGGTATAAGATAATATTGTTTTACTGGGCCAGTATGTCTTTGAAACATGAACGGCCTGTGTAAAATTTCATGGTTTTCTTTAGTTTTTCCTGAAAATTAATTTAACATTACTCTGTTTTATCAAATACATATTTTGTTACCGATATTGTAGAAAATGGTGGTTCTGGCAGACAGGTGGCAGTCGGAACTGGGGAATTTGAGAATCTTAATTGTGGGTATGAACTTCATTTTCTTCTTTTGTTTACTGGGCAATGGCTCAAGCTTATCATATCTTGGAACTTGAGCATTTCTCCCCTTCTCTTGCCTAATATTTTCTGATACTTCTATGTTGTTAATTCATGCATGATTTCTGTGTTTAGGCTTGTTTTGAAAAGCATTGGTTACAAATCATTACCAGTCAATGGCCTGCCATTTGACAGTCAAAGAGGTCAGAACAGTAATTACCTGAAAGCTTCTGCTATTTACGCTCTTAATTATTCCACCACGGTTATTGGCTAATATTGACTGCAGTCAGCACATATATTTAAATGTGGGAAAAAGGACAAGAATATAGTATCTCAACATTAACTTTCTAACTAGTAACAAATGATGATTAACTTTCTGTTTTGGTTAGTTTAACATCTTTTCTTTTGTGCTCTGTCTCGTTAAGATTTTCGTCCACAATAATCCTTGACAGCACAGCCTCTTTTTTTTATTATAAATCTGAGAAAAGAATAAATTATATCGAATTAGCAAACTTTACCTGTAGAAAGATGACTACAAATGTTCTATTTTGGTTGGCTTCCCTTTCATGCTTAGGATTTCAGAATTGATCACATCTATATAACCGAGCTTTCACTGCAAAAAAAGATGTCAAAATTAGCATTTGGAAATTTATTGACCAAGTAATAGGATTATAATAATCCGGTACTGTTATTTGGTTGTCTTGTCATTGTTCTTCTCACATTGCTATCTAGAAAAGAACTCTTGAAGCATACTATTTACCATTATAAAGTTAACATATAATGTAAATTGCAGGTATTGTTCCTAATGTGAAGGGCAGAGTTGTTAGCAGCAATCAGACAGAGCATGAGAAAGTGGAGCATGGTCTTTATGTTGTAGGATGGCTAAAAAGGGGCCCCACTGGGATCATCGGTACAAATCTCTATTGTGCCGCGGAAACAGTAAGTGCAACACAAGCATATGAAAGCACCAAACATCATAAAGACATTCCAGTAAATAAAAAAATACCCTTGGTTATGTGAAATTTGATCTTATATATAACAATTCTTAATATTAATCTCCACCAATGGGAATTTTCTACAAGCAATTCAAGAGAGTTGAATGACATTTGGTTATCATGGATAAAGTCAGTGTCCAGTTTATTAAGGAATATTTTATGTATTGTTTTCATGTTTCTCGTGACAAATGCATGTTATCAATGCTGTTATCATACTTGCCAGTTCATTTTTATGTTCATATTTTTGGATGTATTAACACAATTATGTTTCTTGCTCATCAAATTCTGGACATTGTTTATCTATTTAACGGTTAATAGCAGATACGTTTTCTGTTGTGTGAAAGTGCAGCTACTTGTGCCCCCTAAACTATTTTATTATCACTTAAATGCCACTACCTTCAACACATTATTTCTCATGTTTGGTTGATTTGTCGCATGGGAATCACAATAAATTGTCTTTTACCCTCTTCAACACATTATTTCTCATGTTTGGTTGATTTGTCGCATGGGAATCACAATAAATTGTCTTTTACCCTCAGTTTAACCAAGAAGAGACTGAATTGCTCAATCACAATAAATTGTCTTTTACCCTCAGTTTAACCAAGAAGAGACTGAATTGCTCTCTAGATCTAGGGGCAACTTAGCTTTGTCTGTGGTTATGATGTGTAAGGCTACTAAAATAGTTTAGGAGGCATATGGCTATACCACTATAGTACAATTCTCTACTGCATGGCGGAACCATAAGTGCAATGCAAGCATATGAAAGCATCAAATATTATATACAATATTCCAGAACATCAAAAATACTCCTGCTTGTGTCAACTTCATCTTCTATTAAAAGCTTCTTAATATTAATTTCCACAAATCAAATTTTCTCTACAAGGAATTTAAAAGTTACTCGAATGGCATTTATGAATTATATTCATATTTCTCGCAATGCATGCATTTTAACAACTCTGTTATCTCGTCATATTGCTAGTTCATGTTCGTTTTCAACTTATCTCATGTTATTAACACAATCATGGGTATTGTTCACCAAATTATGTATCTTTTGATACATTTCTTTTCCCTCCTCGGTCTGCTTTATAATATAGGGTGAATTTCGGAGACCCCCTGTACTGTTGCCTAATTGTGCATAAACCCCTTGTACTATTGTAAGTAGACCACCTGAGTGGAAACTTTTGGACTCCTTTACTTCAGGACATCAATTTGTCAAAAAATAATTCTCTTTTTCTAAGGGTAGAAGAGTGGGGGGAAAAAATCCATTCAGGGGGTCCATCTGCAACAATAGAACTATAGTGGGTCTATCCACAGTTAATCCTATAATGTACTCTACTGCTTTCATTACATTTCGATTCACCTTGACTGGTGCTGGTGCTAAAATGACAGGTCATGAGCATATTGGAAGATGTGCACAAGGGAGAATATGTGCAATCATCTAAACCTGGAAGAGAAGGGCTTCTCCATTTATTAGAAGACAAAAATCTCAGATTCGTGCCTTTTGGTGGTTGGGAAAAGATAGATTGTAAACAGAAGATGAAAGGTCAGCTTCAAAATAGACCAAGAGACAAAATCACATCGTGGGAAGAACTGCTCAAGGCTGCAAATGAATGACGAAAATATTCTGGATTCGGTATGGATCGTGCCTTCTTAGCATCAGATTTCGTTCATACAGAATTATTCAATTGACAAGTATAATGTACCTACTATAATTATTTATTGAGCATGATTTTGTATCATTTACTTACAAATAATGGAACATGTTATGTTCCATTTACTGTAGTAATAATTCAAGCTCTCAGGAAAAGTTCTGGATTGTATAAATGCAGCCGTTAAGCCTGGACAAGTTGTAGCTCATGTTTGGTAGAGATTGTAGTACATATAGAACGCATGAACGCGCATGTTGGCACTGGAAGCAGCACAAACTATGGCCTTGTATATGCATACTTCAAATGTCCTTTGGTTAACGTTTATGAAGTAGGGTTAGATTTTCATGATTTTTTGATGTATTGAAGTTTTAGTTAGTTATCTGATTACAATTACCAGGTTACAAGTTGAGTATTTTACTTTGATATTAAGCATGTTTCCTCTTTTGAGCATTCACACTAAGTGAATCTGCAAATGATAATGTTGGCACATCAGCAATCTAATTAACCTCTCTTCTCGGTAGTTCAGTCCGTTGAGATCACTAGAAGCTATACCCCACTTTTCTTCTTATAATTTTTATTAATTTTATTCTAATATTAGTCTTTGAGTAGGGTACCCTACTTTCTTGCTGTTTATGCTTCCGCCAGTTTCTTTTATTGGTTTCAGATCCCGCAGCCCGGCTTGTTATTATGGGCCGGGCGTTATGAAATGTTTGTCAGCTACTTTTATAGGGGGCCTAAACAATACGGAGGAAATAAAGAATCACATGGAGGGCCTCTGAAAAGAACAAACTTCAAAACCATGCCCATATTGGAGGGCCTCTGAAAAGAACAAACTTTAAAACCATGCCCATATTTGTTAGAAAAACCCCGACTTAACTTTGGACGATTATTGTATAAACCCCCATAACTTTGAAACTATGAGAAACCCCCCCCCCCCCAGCCGCGCCCCCTAAGTTTAGGCGTTAAAACTCTCCTACGTGTAGAGGTTATTAAAAAATATCCTTTAACTGAGATTATCAAAAAAGCCCTCTAAAATAGAGGGGTCTTCTGAAAAAATCTCAAACTTAAAAAGGGGGTTTTCTGATTGTTGTTGTTGGGGGGGGGGGGGGGGGGGTAATAATTTTAAGTTATGGGGGTGTGCGATTATCGTCCAAGTTAAGGGTGTTTTCTAATATTTAGCCTTTATTTTTTATACAGATTTTTAACTTTTTGTACTCTATTTTTTCACCGTTTACGTAGATTTTACATGCTATTTACAATTGTTTAAAATTGGTACACCCATCCTCCATTTGTGTATGATATTCTACTGAGGGCCCTTTCGATATTTATCTTTTTTTCTTATTCTCCCAAACAAAATATTTATATCGGGGTGGAAAGGTAAAAATGAGAGTATAGCTTTTAATAGGACATTCCCATACTTAACGCGGAGGCTCAGTGGGCCAAAGCCCAACTGTTCTGTACGCGAAAATTCCAGATCTTGCTACCTCCTGTCGCAAAGTCCTGTGTTACTCTTACCTGAGAGTTCTGGTTTTCGTCGTCGCCATTTCTCTCTCATGTATTTATTCTCTGTTCTACTTCTATTTTTATGATCTCATACGGTATACCTTTATTTTTTACACCACATATGTTTTTCCAAAGGTGAGTTTTTTAAAGAAAAAAATTCATTAGTTTATTTGGCTATAGAAATCTGGATTAAGCGCCTTTAACATTTGCTTTAACCCGTTACCCCAAAGTCTCGTGATTGCTTAAATATGCAGATGTGGATAAATAATTTCGGTAAATTTCATGTAGACCCTTGTTGTATCATGTCAAGTTTGATAAATGCAGATACAAATCATGAGTGAAAATGTTTTGACTTTTGCCCTTATGAGCCGCGTCTTATGGTTTTTTTAATAAATAGAAACCCTCAAACTTAAGAGTAACATGATACTCGGGGATCTATGTGCAGGTAGCCTTTATTTTGTTTTAATTTTAGTGGTTGCACATCTCGAAGCTGATATTTTTCATAACGCCCTATACAATTTGTTTTCTGCGGATAGCTTTGCGGCTTTGCAGGTAATTTTGACGATTTTATGTACATTCTTCTCAGTTGGACTTCTATGATTAGAAGTATGAACTAATGTGCATCCGGTGTAAAACACTAACTCCATTTTTTTTAATTCCGCTATAGTAATTTTTTATTTCCGCTACAGTAATTATGTATCTAAATACAGTTTTGTTAGTATTACAGTAATATTTTTTAAATGCTACATTTTACAATCTGAGATACAATAATGTTTTTAAATGTTACAGTTCTCGATTGTGTTACAGTAATAATGTTATATTAATTTACTGCAATATGAATAGTGAAACTTGGATCCTCATATTATTATAGTAGAATAAATATGATTTATTCTGAATGTTATTGAGTTTTTAGTTGTCATTGTTAATGTACTATTAAATAGCTATATATTGTAATTTTTCATTTGATCAATATTCTTCTACCTAGATGGTTTTTATTTTACTTGATTGAGGAGGATTTCAGCGGAGTCTTTTGTCAACAAATCAAGTAGAGCAAGATCATAAATAATTGGAGTGCTTATCATTATATAGGACAAAATTTTAAGAGGACCTTCTTTTCAATTTTATGTAGCAAAACCGACCAAATGAGAAAATAATTTGTAAAACTGATCATTTTCTTCGGAAAAGGATCAGTTTTGCAATCGTAATGTTTTTTGAGCTACACGTGACTAGCAGTCTCGTGTAGTTCCATGTAGTTCAGCCAGCAATTAAAATACACCAGCCTAGCAGTCCCATGCATTTGATTCTTTTTACTAGTGACTCACCCCTCATTCCCTCATTTCCTGCACCCATGACCCCTCCCCTCTCTCGACTCCCTTTCTCAGCTCCGCCAACCCCCGCCGACCCTGCTGACCAAGCTTCTGACCACCGCCGTCGACCAAGCTCTGATCAAGGTAATTTTTTTTAATTTCGTTGTTAAATTTGACGAGGGATATGAATTGGGAGTTAGGGTTTAGCCCTGAAATTTGTTTTTTAGTTGAGATTTGGGATTAGGGTTTAACTATGAGTATTGTGATTAGGGTTAGGCCATGAATAATATGATTATGGTTTAGCCATGAATAATGTGATTTGGGATTAGGATTTTTTGCTTTTCAGTTGAGATATGAGTTTAGAGTCTAGCCATGAATAATGTGATTTGGTTGATGAATTGAGTTGTTGATCAATCTGCACGGGTAGAAACTTGTAAGATGGCGGGGATTAGTTCCCCTACCTCCAATGATTAAGTTAGTTGATGTACTTGAGTGGGAAAAAATAAGAATAGTGTGTTCTTGTGTGCAGTAATATGCTCTGAGGTTAGATTGTTGTTTTTCAAAAATTAGCCCCTCCAAGTTCGAATGTGTGAACGGAAGTGAAAGTCTTCGGCTTCACGTGAGTGAGGGCCACCCTAAGTTTTCGCGTGGACAGGTAGGGACAGCCTCGCAAATTGCAGGCTGCAATTTGCAAGCGCGTGAATGGGTAAGGCCCACCCGTACATGCTCTCCTATAAATGTAAACTCTTCCTAGGTTTTTTAGTTGATGCAGGGGGAAAATGTCACGCCCCGCTTCCCAAAATACCAGAGAATCGGGACGCGAGCAAGCCCGCGACGTATTAAACTGAGAAGAGATAAGTGCTAGACCCCGTCTTCTCAATCTAATACGCTAAGCGTCAAGAAATACAAACTTCTCAATCTAATACGCTAAGCGTCAAGAAATACAAACGAAGGCACAGGTCCCCGATCACAATCAGCAATAATATAATGAACAACACAGAACCAAAAGATACATATCACAACTGAAATGATCATCCAGATATAATATTCGGGCCAAACATGCCCTTATACAAACTATCTGAATAAAATACTGGAGAATATAAAATATAATGATCAGGCGGAAAAGGAAATGCTACGAAAATAAACTGAAAGGAATAACTGAGCTTCAACTCTTCTTCTGCTTCGTCTACAAGACACTCCTGCTGAGAATACTCGGCTGTGGTGCATCTCCAAGCTGAACCTGTTCTTCCTCTAAGTCTGACGTACACCAGAGAAAACAGGTGTACGTCAGGTGCATGGCGCACGGCAAGACCCAACCCCACAAAGAAAAATAGAACGAACGAAAATCCAATGCGAAAAACGAAACGATAACAGAAACAACAAAAGAACATACAACTGAAATCCATAAATTAACATGAAAACACTACTAAATCATGATAACATAAAGCATCCAGAATCGATCGGGTAACGAGGTCCTGCAGCTAATGATCAAACTAATCATCCAAATAACAAGGTCATATACTAGATGGAATTAATACTTAAAAATCTACAACTCGAGACGTAGTACGTCGAGCGAAATAATCCAAATAAGAAAACCCTCATGTATATACCATATGTCCCAAATTGTAGATAATTAAATATTAATCCCGATCTATGTATGAAAAGAAATATAACTGGTCCGTATCTCACAACAACTCGAAATCATCCAAGTAACGGCCATGTAACTAGCCGTCTTATAACAGGTCACTGGTTCACATCTCACACAGAGTCAAAGTTCATATTATCGGATATCTGATTAACAACCACATCTCACTAGTACCTCAGACCCGCCCCAGTGCGAAACGATTCACTGGTGCGTGCCTGGAAATAATCAATAATCACAATACCACTGCTCCTCAGACCCACCCCAGTGCGAAACGATTCACTGGTGCGAGCCTGGAAATAAACAATAAGCATATCCAATCATTGCTCCTCAGACCCACCCCAGTGCGAAACGATTCACTGGTGCGAGCCTGGAAATAAACAATAAACACATCCGATAACATGAACCAAGACTTTCCCATCCCAAGTCCAAGTCAACAACTCATATCTCACGGGTCACTATGGTCAAGCAATACACGCGATTCTCAACTATAACAATGTATAAAAGCAATGAATACTATGTAACAGTGTCATGAATCATGAACAGGAAACGTGAACAACT